CTTTTTTTTAGAGAGAGAGAGAAAGAACATGAACTTGGGTAGGAAATGAGATAGGAAGAATCTGGGAGGATTTGGAGAGGGGAAAAGATATGATTAAAATATATAAACTTTTAAAATAAGAGCTAATTTTTTAAAAATTAATAATCCTTCTGCTTAGTATTTAGTTATAATAGTACAGTAACATCATCTGTAGTCTCCCCACACCAACTAATTGTTACTTGTTATTATTTCTGTTTTTCACTGATCTCCCTTGCCCTTAAATCTGAGCATAAAGTTGTTGAATCCTTGGCAAGCACATTAACAATCTCCCTCTACAATGGCACCTAAGAGAGTTTGTGAACTCATTCTAGCCCTATGTGAGTTTCAAATGTGAATTGGATATCATGCCTGGACCCAGGAATTTAATCATTAGGGAGAAAGTACTGAGAAAAACATCAGTGAAAGATATTAAATGAAGAATGAAACAAGTAGGGGGTGACCCTGCAAGACTTTCACTTACTGCAAACAGCAGAGAAAATTCCCCATGGAAATGCTACTTGAGCTAAGATTTCAAACAGGGATAGCACTAAGGAATCAAGTGAGTAAAAATGACCCTTCTAGGCAGGGAAACAGCATGTGACAGGAAGGAGCACAGCATGTCTGAAAAATGAAAACAGAAACAATGACTCAGGAGTAGAGGGGAGGTGGGACAGGCTAAAGGATATAAGGAACATCCTTGAGTGTTTAGTAAAGCCTGGGTGCTTGTGAAAATAGTTTATCTTAAGGTACCAATTTATCTAATACTCATTGTTACCATCTCTACTTTAGAGGTCTAGTAATCAATGTTAAGGAAACAAAAATAAATTGTGGCTGCTGAAGAATTTTAAGCAAATTAGGGTATAGAGTTGCTATGAGCAGATGTCTTGTTCTGAAACACTGACCAGATCATGATGTGCAGAATGTCCTGGAGCAGATTATAGATGACCATAATCAGCCAGATAAGAGATGATGACACATCAAAAGCAGGTAGTGGCAAGGGAGATTAGAGATGTGAACAGATGCAAGAACATTAACAATAGGCTACGAGAATGGGGCAAGGAGAAATACCCTTGATGACAAGTCAGTGTGGGATTCTTCTCTCAAGAGAGGGTCTTAGGTCAGTTTTGAACCCATTAAACTAAAGTTTAGGACAGTGGTTCTCAACCTGTGAATTGCCACCCCTTTGGGGGCCAAATGACCCATTCACAGGGGCTGCATATCAGATACTTACATTATGATTCATAATAGGGGTAGAATTACAGTTATGAAGTAACAATGAAAATAACTTGTTGGGGTTCACCACTACATGAGGAACTGTGTTAAAGGGTTTCATTCAGCATTAGGAAGGCTGAGAACCACTGCTTTAGGGAGTAAAAGTACAATGTGTTATCAATTACAGGTTAAGTATCTTTGATCTGAAATTCTTTAGGCCAGAAGTCTTCTGAATTTGAAGATTTTCAATTTTTCAGAATATTTATGTATAGACTTCTGAGACATTCCAGGAATAAAACCTAACCTCAAAAGACAAAATTCATGTTTTGTTCCACATATATCAATACACATAACCTAAAGGTAAATGTATATAGCATTTTTAAATGATTTAGTGCAAAAGGGTCTGCATTATATTCTTCTGTATAAATTAGCCATCTTTGCACCATAGCATGACTTCACAATTCAAAAATTAATGTCCATTAAACTATTTTCTCAATTTTTAAAAATATTTTATCTTTAACTATGTGTCTATGTTGGGTACGGTATACTCATTTGAGGGCAAGTGCTCTTGAAATCAGAGACAGATCTCATGGAGCTGGAGTTATAGACAGTTGTGGGTCCTATAACATGATGTTGGGAACCAAGCTCGGGTCCTCTGCAAGAGCAGTATGTGTTCTTAGCTGATGAACCTTCTCTTCAGCCCCTCAATATTTAACTAATATAATTTGTCTTCCACTAGCCAGCTTCTAACTATTTCCAAACCAATCACCAACAGTAACCCTCCATAATTCTAGTGCTTTAATTATCCAATCAATACCAAACATCCAGTGGTGTTGAAATCTACAGTGATGCCTGCTAGCCCTTGAGCAGAAGGGGGGCTTCTGAAGTGCTAGGTCTCCATGTTTCCATAGAGAGAGATAAAGTACTAACTGTGTTACAACCATAATCATTCCTTTCAGCACAACAACTGTCAAATCATTTGGACCACCACTCATAAAAGTTCAGTTTTAATCATATGGATATCTCTGCTGCATATATGGAGAAACCAAGGCATAAATTATATTTAAACTATCCATCAGAGACCAATAGGATCACATTATATTTGGCTATAAAAAAAAAAAAACCCTAAAAAAACCTAAAAAAAAAAAAACCTGGATTCTTAGTTTTCTGTCTATATTGCCTCTGTCAACTTCTCCAAGTGTGATAGTCAATCCTGGCTGTCAAATTGACTAAACTGAAACACACCCAATGGTACACATTTCCAGTGTCTGTGAATTTGTTTTCAGGAACAATTACGTCATGCAGTTCGAGACCAAGTCAGTTATTTAATCAGTGGATGGATTCAAAATCTGAATGGACAATTAGGACATGGTAGAGCCATGGAAGAATGAAAAGGAAATGCTGGTTTGCTTGCTCTAACAGAGCCCCGTCAAGTTATTGCCTAATCATATTTCAAATCATCAGAAAAAGAAGTTTCCATTCGCCTTCATGTCAGACACCCTTGTATAAAGGCGGTGAGAAATAAGGATAACAATGATGCATCATGGCATCTATTTATGTGTACTGTGAGTTTACTAGGATTTTAAATACTTTGTCTCATTTGATATTTACAAAAATATATTATGTTCTTCAATAACATTCAGAAAGAAAAACCAAGGAGCAAAAATGCTGAGAAACCCAAAGAAGTTCCAAACATTAGGAAGAAGTAATTATATGAACTTGCTTCAAATTGTCTAATTTGAGTCATGTTTGTTGTTAGGCAGGATTAGGAATTGAAACTGAGTCCTCAAGCACCCTATACAAATGCCCCCCAACTTAATTAAGTCCCCAGACCCCTTTTTACTTATGTGTGTGAGGTGAGGGTGCTGATTAATTTTTGCCATCTTGACACAAACTCAAGTCACCTGGGAAGAGAGAACCTCAACTGAGATTGGCCTGTGAACATCTTGTGGGGCATTTTCTTGTTTAATGACTGATGTGGGCAATGTCAGCCCTGGCCAGGTGGTCCTGAGTTATATGTATAAGAAGGAAAACTAAGCATGATCATCTTTGTGAGCCAGTAAGTCATGTTGATGGTCTCTACCTCAGTTTCTGCTTCCATGTTCATGCCTTGAGTTGCCTTCTGCCATGGCTTTTCTCCATGGTGGGCTATAACCTGTCAGCAAATATGCCCTTTCCTCCCCGTGGTCTTTTTAGTTGGTGTTTTATCACAGCAACAACAGCAAAATGGGACAGACAGGGTCTCACTGAGTTGTACAAGCTGGCCTTGAACTTGTTCTATAACACAGCTTTATGTTTGTAATCCTCCTGCCCCAGCCATGCAAGCAGCTGCATCAGGAGGCTATGTGAGTCTATACTTTAATTATATCCATCTTTAAAACTCAAAATATTTCAGCAATGTTGGTCACAAACCAATACCAGTGTGCAAAGTATTAGCTGCTTTCCTGAGAAGGCCATGTGGTATCAGATATTATAGAGTTCTGAAGTGGCCTCCCAATAAATTATAAATTAAAAAATTAGGCTACTGTCAATGATAAGAGTTTCTTGTAACATTATGCCCAGTGGAAGGGGAAGACAAGAGAATAAAACATAAACCATCCTATACTCTGGGAGATTTTGACTTAAGAACCCTGGTGGATGGGCCTCAGAATACGGATGGACTGACAGAAAGAGCCAAAATCCTCTGAGCCTCCTGGACACCTCACCAAAGGTTTCCAACCTCAGCTACAAGAGAAGGGATATTATGGATTTTATTAAAACATCACAAACAAGTGGGGCAAAGTCCACATAACCCACCAATGTGATAGGGCTGTTGTTTCAAACAAAAAAGATAGCTTAAGTGTAGCAAAGTTCTGATGAGCTCTGAAGCAGCCCCATCCCATGTGAGACCTCATTTCATTCACTAAAAAGTTAGATTAAGGAAACTGATAAGGTTTCCATGTGGAGTAAATGAAGATACTATGATGGGTTTCTTCAGATAGCAAGGCCTATGTGAATGCTTAGCAGTAGTCACAATGATTCATTTACAATCATTATCATAAATAACCATTGGGCAACGGATGTATTTATAGCAGAGCACTTGCTTAGCATGCACAAGACCCTAGGTTAGATTCCTAGTACCACAGAGAAGGGAGGAAGAGAGGGGAAAAGGGAGGGAGGGAGGGAGGAAAGAAGAATTGTGGTGTTTTAAATGAGAAATATTTCCCGTAGCCTCATGTGTTTGCACAGATGGTTGCCAGTTTGTGACATACTTTGGAGAGGTTGTGGAACCTTCAGGAGGTACAGCCTTGGTAGAAGACATACATCACTGGAATCAGGCTTTGAGGTTTAGAGCCTTGTCCCTCAGTCTGACCTGTACCTCTGCTTCCTGTGTGTGGTTGAGACCTGATCTCTCATTCCTTGATCTCACCCACAGGCCAGGCCTTCTCTGCTATTATGGACTCCAGCCCCTGAAACCATAAGCCAAAACAAACTCTATTCTTCCTGAAGTTACATTACATTTGATCATGGTATGTTATCAACAGCAAAGAAAAGGAAATATCACAGAAATCTATGGTTTTAGGGGGAAAATCTGAATGCAAATGATATGCTGACTCTGTCTCTTTTGTAGGTCCGGTGGTGCTTTTGTTATTTGTGGAGCTGTAAGTTTTCTTTATTTCCAGAGAGTCTGTGTAACCCCTGTATTGGTTTAGGACCAGCTGTGCCATGATCATTTCAGCTCTCCCCATACCCTGTCATCTGCGGAGCAGAGACCTCACCCAAAGCTTTACCTTGCTGCTTTTGCATGGTGGTGAAGTCTTCAAAAGTCAGTGTGCGTACAGGAGGTCTCCAGAATGCGTATGTCTCCATGATGGCTTCAAGTCCAGTTCTGGAATGAGAATAGCCAGGAAATCAACTTGTAAGTAATCCCAAACATGCATTGAAAATGCAAGGTGAGTTGTCTGGAAAGTGGCATACTACAGCCACTGAGAGACACACTACTGGGCTAAATCAGTCTGGGAAAGGTCCCCATGCTGCTACATTGCTGGAGGAAGAACAAAGGAAACTAATTCAGGTCATTCACAAAAAGTCCTTAAACACGATGAAATTTAGCTCCAATTTTCCTTGCAAAGAGGCTCAATGGGCACAATAACAAAGTGCATTTGAGGTCAATGCTATCATTACAGTTGAGCAAAGAGTAGCACTGACTGCTTCTCATGCCGCCACCATTACCTCATCATGGCTGACACATCCTGCCCCAGAGCCAACTGCACCTCCAGAGTGTGTGAAGGCTCAATGAAGCTGTCAAGCTGATGTGACTTCAAAAGGTTTCCTAAGTCAACAGAGGAGAGTGGGGCAACAGAAATAGGAGGAGAGTAAACAAGTGCACTCAAGTTTTTATTGTAGTGAGAAATATCCACCCAAAGGAAAAGAGAAAATATACAACAGGCAAAAGAAACAGTCCATGTCTCCAAATGTCTGTCTTTGTTTGTAACCTAATAATTAAATGGCCATTGAGAACCATATACTGTCAGATTTTAGACAATAACTAGTATTTTTAAATTACATTTATTTACAGCTTCTGGTTTGCTCCTCCCATACAATCTGTAAGTTGGACTGTATGTACACTATCTCTTTACCATTCAACTCTGTCCCTATATAAAGTACTGAAATAGCCACCCAGGGGACTTCCATCATATTGCTGATGACATGCAGCATCCTCAAAACAGAATTTTCTTTGGAGCTCTGCTAAAAGCTTTGAGTGGAGGAGCTTCTGAGTAGGTACTACTTTAAAACTATTTTCTTTGTATCAGAAAGCAGAAGCTCAGGGACTATGGGGAGAAAGTAGGAGAATGGGGAAAGGCAATGGCAAATGTCACTCCATTGTGATGGCATCACAAAGCGCACATGGTGTGCCTCAGCAAACAGCTCCTCCCTATTGGAAAAAAAAAAAAAGCATGCTCTCTGACCTTCTACCTAAGCAATCCGCTTGTTTGGCTGAGTAGTAGGCTAAGAATAAAGTCAGAGGTTTTATTTTAAGTGAGAACAAATACCTTCTCACTTTAACTGATGCTAATCCCCCTAGCATTCTTCTCAGATGAGCCACTGGTACACTGACTGTCTCTTTGTGTTGGAAAATTTGCTTTCTGAATAGGCTTTACTTCTATATTTCTCTTTCTAAAGGCTTCCCTGGATCTTGGAGGCTTTAAATACACTAATGTTGGCAAACCAAACTCTGTATTTTAAGAAGAGGTTCACGGGAGAGAGCAGTACATGGTGTTTATTAGCTGTTAATCTGTGAGAAGCAGGAATAGACGAAATCTCTACCATCAGTCTACATTGGTCCGGAATACAGTTCATGGAACTATTTGTGGATAGAAAGAGCTCAGGCAATTAAGAGAATTCAGAATAATAAGGGGATAGGCAGATAAAGCCATGCTGAGCCTGGGTGGATAGAAGAAATAGATAGGCCCAGCTTAGATCTGACTGCTTTGTCCTGGAATGTTGGCAGCCCACCAGAACAGCCTAGGATTCCCTTTAATGGCACAGGAGACTCACTGCAGATGGCAAGGGTTTATTATTCCACCTTCCAGTCCATCTTTTCCAGGGACAAGTGTACAGCATGAGGACAGAAGCTAGTACAAGGACAAAGAACAATCCCTTCTCGTTTCATAATAAAGTGCTAGGAAACTGAAGTTTCAATAATACCACAGTATAATGCCAGCATTGTATCTTTTCATACATAGAAATGGATTTGGTTTCTTTTTCATAATACTGTTTCAAAACACTATGGCATGAATTAATTTTTTATGCTATACTATGATGACTATGTGTCAGCAATCAAATTTAACTTAAAAATAGTAATGGAATCATATATTTAAAACATAGGGTGATTCATAGATGATGTGTATTCTGTCTCTTCTGGCATTTTCTTTGATAATTATCCAGCCTCTGTTGATGTATTTCCTTGGGAAGATATTTTGAGTTTTTGTTAGATCTGTTATTAAGCTGCTTCTGACATATCTGATGTAAATTTTGTCCTCTGGGGAAGTGTTAAGAGTCTCCTACATCGCTGACAAGTTCCTGTACGTCACGGACAAGTTTCTGTCTTCCACATCCTACTCAAGGAAACCTTCCTTGGCCTAAGAATACAGCATGTCATGTACACCCTTGGCCATACTTAGATATATTAAACCTGAATATTAAATGATACTCTCAGCAATCTTCTACTCAGAAGAGGAGGTAGCTTTTGCAGCAGAGTCAACAATATGTAAAAAAAAACTTAGCAGTGAGGAAGGGAAGGTATGTTCTGGGCACTTAACAAACATCCATAGGGTTACTGAAGCTCTGTGTCTACAATGGGTGTGTATACAGTGGACATCCAGTCCAGATCTAATTACCTTATCTCAATCTCCTTAATCTATCCTTGCTCCCTTGAGGAAAGGCCAAACCTTCCACACTGCCCCCTCTTTTCACTACTTTGTGGATCAGCTCCAACCTCCAGTTACTTAATACATTTTCTGTTTGGATGCTCTAAAGAACCTCAAATCAGAAGCCTATAATTTGTTTAAGGACAAACCCATCATGTGAAATTTAGGTTCTTAGGGTATAACAATTCTATGTACACAGTGAAGAAGCTGTCATCAATAAGCCTTCATTCACAGGTTTTAGAAGAATGAGTAATCAATGGAAATGTGTCTGGATTTGAATTAAAACTGCTCATCACCTGGTGGTCCCCAAATGTTCCTCCCCCACTATCCTTCTTAGAATTTGCATAAGTTGTAATTGCAATTACTGGGAATTTTCAGTGTCTCAAGAGTAATAAAATTTTGTAACAATACTAAACAGGCTTATTAAAACATTAAGTTCCTTTGCATTTGACTGGGATAGTCTAGCTCTGATATTATGAATGTCACATAAGGGACAGTTGAACATTCTAGTCAATAGCATAGACTCTAAATATAGTTTTTCAGGCTTCTAATTAAGGCACCTTTGGCCAAAGTATGTAACTCCTTCATGCTTAACTCTCTCTAGTTTTAAGGTAGAGAAATCTGTTTTATCATATAATAATTATGACTTCATAAACAGAGCTTGATTGATAACAAAGCTTATCAAGGCAAGTGCTCCAGTTCAAGCAAAAGGAAGCCAGTCATTCTGCTCTATTGAAGCTTGTTCTTCAATATATATAGTTCTGCTTCCCTGGAAATCACAGCTCTGTCAGTCCTCTGGCTCCAGATAAAAATGTAGAAGGATCTCCATGTTACCTATTCCATTTCTCATTTTCTCATCAGAAAACCAAAAGCGTGTCCTTTAAGCCCCTGTAGGCTTCATTATCTTGCAGATATTTCAGAGTCTAATATACTAGCCATTAAAAAGACATCACTGTGTTCAATGACACCATCCTTGAGCAGGAGCCATAGATAATAAAACAATTGCCAACATTCCCTGGCAAATCCATATGGCCAAGATGACAATGGTGGAAATAGTTCATGACAATAGAAGAGGAACAAATAATAAGGCAGAGAAAAGTATTAAGTCCAGGCTAATAGACTACGCCTTGGGACGTGACACACAGTTAAGGCTGTGGTGAATAGGAGGAATACAACTGCCAATAGGAGGATGCTGCTGCCAAAATCTAGTACAGGGCCAGTTACCTTGAATGACAAATGCAAGAGTCCCTGAGAAGTCCAACACTGATTGCTTCCATAGACCTGCTGAATGGCAGAAGTCACCCATGCCAGGGATAACAAGAAAGTATGCAGAAATCTACAGGGGCTTGTAAGCCTGCCAGGAAAGAGCAGGATGAGGTTGGCTGGGAAACTGCAGCCAATGGCCCTTGAGGGGACAAATGAAAACACAGCAATTGAGCATGAGAGGGACACTTGGGATATACTGACAGTTGAGAAAAGGCAAGTGGTCAGCTCATTGGCTCTAAACTTGCTACTTGAGACTCAGGAACAACAGGGAGCCAGAAGTGGTTTAAGGCATGGTTTCTGCTGCCTGGCCAGCTGTGCCTGCAGAGGACAGTGAAATCATTCTCTGCATGCTGTGACAGGCTGGATCTGCAAATTCTGAAGCCAGTAGCTCAAAATTCAGTTTGCCGTCAGTGTAAAGGAAAGCACGGCGAGGGTACCTCAACTCTGAGGTAAAAATGGAAGGTGTGAATCTCAGTCCATATATGAAATAATTACTACTGTTATTTGAGACTTGCAATTTGGTTAGCTAGAAATAACTATAAGATTGAGTTAATGTGAAGTCACTATTGGTTTATCTTTAACCTAGAAAACAGTCATTTCTTCTCTTCAGCTAAATAAATGGAGAAAGGTGCAATTGGGATTTGTTAGTTGTCTCTGACAGAGCACTCCGTTACCAGATGTCAGCTGGAGTACATCAACTGGTCCCTTCCTCCTAACTCTCCAGGGAAAGTCATTTTAGATCAGCAAAGATGAGCCAGGCTGGGAATTTATGCATAGCTGACTTTTCTAAGTCTCTCCATTCAGTTAACACGGGAATTCCTCACTTCACACTCCTCTCTCCACTGAGCATTATGGACCTGTAACAAGGGAGGGGTCCTGTGGGAAACTGGGGAAAGTCATTCTTCACTCCATAGGCATGGCCTTGGGACAGCAGCTGCTGAGAGTGGGTTTGGGGGGAAAATTTACTATTGAACATTTTTCTCTACCACAACTTGAGTAATCCCTTAGGTGAAGTAATGACTTCACTGAACATCCTTTTCAACATGCAAGTCTATCTATCCATTCTCATGCTACAATGCCCGTCATACCCTGAAATACCTATATGGGAACAAAATTACAAAAGACTTCCACCAGCCACATTCATAGCAAACATATTGCTGTCTCAGAACATTCAGAGAGCAGGCACAGATCC